TGTACTTGTGTCTTCTAACTGGGATTTGTCTTTCTGCTGGTAAAGATAGGCTCTGAGTTAAGACTTTCTTTAGCTTAGACTCTGTTAGTTACAAGGCTGACTTGTGGAACCTAGTGCTTAATTGTAATTACTAGTTTCAGGTGTGGTTTCAGGTTAGCCAAAGGTGTGAATTGTAGGCTTTCAGTCACAAAGCTGATAAATTGAGGAGGTATTCCCTGGAAGAATCTGTGTGCTTGTATCTTCTAACTGGGATTTGTCTTTCTGCTGGTGTGATTTGTAGGGCCTGGGCTATCAGTCACAAGGCTGATAAATTGAGGAGGTATTCCCTGGAAAAATCGGTGTGCTTGTGTGTTCTAACCGGGATTTGTCTTTCTGCTGGTGTGATTTGTAGGGGCCTGGCTATCAGTCATAAGGCTGATAAATTGAGGAGGTATCCTGTAGCGGTCTGTAGCAGCTAGGCTTGACATTTGACAAACCTCTGTCCCATCCATCCTCAACAGAGACGTGACTATTCAACTTTGGCTAAGTATCACTTTGTTGTTCTTCACCATTTATCGTTGCAGGATCCACAATTCCAGTAACCTCATCTATCCCTCACGGTCGTTAGAATCTCAGAACAGGGTGGCAGGTGGGCTCTGGAATTGCCAATCCACAGTGCAGAAGGCCGACTTCATTTCAGCCCTAGCATCCTTCCATTCACTGCACGTGGCATTGATGGAAACCTGGATCACCCCCAAGAACTCTGCGACTCCAGCAGCTCTGTCCTCTGCCTTTCACTTCTCTCATTCTCTGAGACAGTCTGGCAGGGGTGGTGGCACAGGTTCGCTTTTGTCCAGAAAGTGGTGTTTCACTTCACTTGTTTTTTCTCTTATCTTTCAGTTTTCTCCTTTGAATACCATGCTGTCAATATCTTTCCCCACTAGACTTCACATCATTGTTTTTTATCATCCTCCCTCTCCTTTAGGTAACTTCATTGAGTTAGATATTCCTCTGAGTCTCTTCCCCATCGATGGAACCCGACTCATACTCCTGGGTGACTTCATCCTGCCATTGGACAAGCTGCAGTCATCCTGCCTGTTACCGGTCCTATCGTCATTTGACCTCACCCTCAACCGGACTTCTCCGACGCACAGAGCAGGCAACTTTCTGGACCTGATATTCAGCAGACCTACCTCTGTGCTGTATGTCACAGTAACTCCCCTTTATGGCTCTGATCACCACTTTCTATCTTTCACACTCTCCCTCCCTGCTACCACTGTCCATACCACCCCTTCATGGTTTTCTACTCTTCTACTCCTACACTCCATTCCTCCCTCGTCTTTCGCCTCAACTATCCTGACCAAACTTCCCCATCCTGACTCATTTTCTTCTCTCTCACTGGACACAGCTACAGATGTTTTCCTTTCATCACTCTCATCTGCAATTAACCTTCTGTGTCCTCTCCTCCAGGCCAGCAAGATCCTCTCCTCCTGCCCCCTGGCTGACAGGTGTCCTGCGCAGCAACCAGCAAGGGCTAAGGAAGGCTGAGAGAAGTTGGAGGAAATCCCAGCTTGACTCGGATCTTCACTCCTACCAATCTCTCCTTTCTAAAGTCTCACTTGAAGTTACTGCTACAAAGTCATCTTTCTACAGAGGGAAACTGGAAGCATTAACATCTGATCCATGTAAGCTCTTTAGCATTTTCTCCTCTCTCCTCAACCCTCCTCTTTTTCTTCCACCCTCTTCTCTCATCCCTGAGGATTTTGTCACCTTCTTTGAATCCGCCAGTCTTTTCCCTCTGTGTCCACTCCTTCCGCTAGACCTCATCCTCTTGTTCTCAATCCCCTAAACTGTTTCTTCTCTTTCCACAGATGATGTTCTACAACTGATCAAACCCAGTAATCCAACCACCTGCCCACTGGATCCCATCTCGTCCACTTTGCTTCAGTCAATCTCCATGGATCTACTGCCTTTTATCACTTTTTTCTCATAAATAGCTCTTTGTCATCAGGTGAAGTTCCATCAACATTCAAGACTGCAAGAGTGGTTCCCATCCTGAAGAAGCCCATGCTTGACAGCTCTGATGTCAACAACTACAGACCGGTATCGCTCCTTTCTTTCCTTTCAAAAATTCTTGAACATGCAGTCTGTAATCAACTGTCTCTTTTCTGTCTCACACAGAACCAGCTCCAGGACCCCAACCAGTCTGGCCCCTATAGCAGTGACTGAGAACCTCCAGTCAGCAAGATCAGCCGAAGTGTCTTCTGTTCAGATTCTTCTTGACCTCTCAGCAGCTTTTGACATGGTCAACCATACAATCCTTCTGGATGTCCTCACCAACCTTGGAATCACTGGCTCTGCGTGGAAGTGGCTTAAGTCCTATCTGGAGGGTAGCTCTTATCAGGTAACATGGAGAGGGTCCACATCCTCTCCATGCAGGCTCTCCACTGGTGTCCCACAAAACGTGGTGCTGGGTCCTCTTTTCTTTTCACTTTACACTAGTTCTCTTGGTGATGTAATATCCTCTCATGGCTTCTCTTATCACTGCTATGCTGATGACACTCAACTAATGCTCTCTTCCCCACCTTTTGACACGCAGGTTTCCAGTCGTATCTCGGGCATGTCTGTCTGACATCTTTTCATGGACGGCAGCTCAGCACCTTAAGCTTAATCCTAGCAAGACTGAGTTGCTATTCGTCCCTGCAACTACAGGTCCTCATCTTGATCTTGCTATCTCATTCGAGAACTCTCTGATTGTTCCGTCTGAAGATGCAAGAAGTCTTGTTGTGATTCTGGATGGCCAGTTATCGTTCTCAGCTCATATCGCAAACCTAACTCAGTCATGCAGGTTTCTCCTGTACAACATCTGGAGGATCTGACCCTTCCTCACTCGAGAGGGCACCCATGTGCTAGTTCAGAATATTACTAGAATAGCTTTCCTCCACCTTCATAACATCACTAAATTAAGAAATGCACTGTCGCTACAGGATGCAGAAACGTTAGTTCACGCCTTCATCACGTCCAGGTTAGATTACTGTAACGATCTGCTTTCTGGTTGTTCCAGCCAAAACCTTAACAAGCTTCAGTTAATCCAGAACGCTGCAGCCAGAGTTCTCACCAAAACCAGGAAATTTGACCACATTAGCCCAATTTTGTGTACCTTACATTGGTTGCCAGTTAAATTCCGCATTAAGTACAAAATTCTTCTACTGACATATAAAGCTTTGAATGGCCTTGCTCCTCAGTACCTCAGTGACCTTATTTCCTATCTCAACCGACACGCCCACTTAGATCACAAGGTGTGGGCTCATTATTGGTACCTAGAATGAATAAAGTTAAGTCAGGGGGAGGAGCCTTTTCATACAAAGCCCCCCAGCTTTGGAATAACCTACCAGTCAGTGTTTGGGACTCAGACACAGCCTCCATCTTTAAGTCTAGGCTTAAAATTTACCTGTTTAGTCGAGCCTTTGGTTAATTAGTTTTCCTGTTAGAATAAGGCGCAGATCTGGGACAGAGAGTCCTATGGTAATCTGGGAATGTTGGTGCTGAACTAACTACCCCCCCTTGTCTTCAATCTTCCTAAGTTCAGTCACGTCACTCCACCGCTGCGCTCCCTTCACTGGCTTCCTGTAGCTGCACGCATGAAACCTTGATGTTTGCTTACAAAGCCAAAAATGGAGCAGCCCTCCCTACTTGATGGCAATGGTCAAAACTCAAACTGTACCTCAAGCCTTTCAAGCTTCAAGTACAGCTCGGATTGACCCGACATCCTTTTAATGCATGGAAGACAAGCATCAAGATTTTTCTCTGTCCTGGCACTCAGGTAGTGGAACAAACTCCCTCTGGCTGTCTGAACAGCAGAGTCTCTCGTGGTCTTCAAAGTATTTATTGTAATGTATGGTACTACACTTATTGTAATGTATTGCACTGCACTATGTTTAACTCTGTTCCTTTTTCTCTAGGTATCAACGTGGGCTTTTGTTTCTAGCAGTATCTGAGCTCAGGACTGGCTTTCTCTCCAACCTGAATGTAACTAGCAAAGATACTTTCTCTAGGTAAACAAAGCACTTCTTGTAAGTCGCTCTGGATAAGAATGTCTTCTAAATGCTGTAAATGTAAAATGTAACTGAAATTTCATCTTAAATATTCCTAAAAACAGTTGTCTTTGCCATGCTCTAGTATTTTTCACATCAACAATACATAAATCAATTTAATATAAAACCACTATTGTTCATTAAATACAATATATACAAATACCACTTGACTTTTAACTTACCCATAACATATTTTGTCACATTAAGTAAAATGATAAAACGTGACAATATTTAAGCCAGAGGAGCAAAGATTGAGAGTCCTGTTCTCTTTCAGCACTGATAATTTGTTGTCCGCTCTCCAATAAGCTGGTCAAACAGTTCATGAGGGCAGAATACAGTCCAATTAGTTAACAGTAGCCACCCAACTGTCTGTCTCAGACCATCCTGCCCCAAAGAAATCAAAGTCCATTCATGCATGAGAACATTTATTGCACATAATGATTTTTTGTGGTGAACTGGACAGTCTGTTTATCTTCTGGTCCCATGTCTCTTCACTTTCTATAATTTGACCTACTTTAGGGATAAGTTCTTATTTTACCTCCAGATTTTATGTTGGGTAAGAGTGAGAGTCTATGGTTAGTGATGTAGTGACACGCACAGACTAGTAATAAAGGAAGAGACAAGTCATTTTTATTGAGAATTGCTTTATTAGGTCTGTTTATTTATGTTACAAAAGACAAACACTGAACAGTTGGCATGATGTCATTATGATATTTACATCCAATCAGACAAATATCCCTGAAAACTGAGATGAATGTGAGACAGGATTTTATAAGTAATACAGCTTAAAAGGGCAACAAATGTTCATTTAAAGCCTTTATTCAAAGAAAAATGTATCAGTGAGTAATAACCTAAGTCTCAAAAAAAATACACTACCAAGTCTAGATTTATTACTTTTCTTTAAAAACACAAAACAATTTTCATTCTTTATCTGTATTTCATTACTGAATCGCACAATTTAACTGATGATATCAGACCAACCTCAAACCCAGCATAGAGAGGCTGAGTGAATGTGGTGTGGACTGTGTGTAGGAGGGTCATTGTGTCAGAGACGCTGTAGAAGGACAGAGTTCCTGCACTGTGATCCACATACACTCCTATTCTGGAGGATGGTGGAGCTGAGAGCTCAGTCTTAATGTTGTTTTGCCAGAAAGTGAGAGTGTCAGAACACTCCAGACTCCAGGACTGATTGTTGCATCCAAACCTGCACTCACTTCCCCGTTCTTTCCTGCTGATCCCTTTATATGACACTGATATGGACACCCAACCCAAAAGTGGATCCCATTCCTGGCCGCTCCACTCAACCTCCCAGTAACAGCGTCCACTCACACTCTCCTTACTCAGCACCTGCCTCCAGTACTCAAATCTCTCTGGTTTATTGGAGTAATGCTGCTCTCCTCCCCTGTACTTCACCACTCTGTTCTGCTCAGACAGACTGAGTTGATGATTCACTGTGTTGGGATCCAGAGTCAGACGACAGAAATCTAATGAAGAAAGAAAAAGATTAGGTTTTTACTCAAAAGTATACTTTAAGAAAAATAAACCATCTGTAGTGAATATTTTCTCTCCTTACACATTTCTGTATTTAACATTTTAGAGCAACACAATCTCTACCATAAAAAAAAAACATTCATAGTTAAATCATACAATACTTATGTATTTGTGTGTGTGTGTGTTTGTGTGTGTGTGTGTGTGTGAGTGAGTGAGTGTGTGTGTGTGTGTGTGTGTGTGTGTGTGTGTGTATTGTGTACATACACTGTAGAAAATCTGCTCTGGTTTTTGGCTCTGAGGGTAAAATCATCTGAACTGCTGCAGCTGTGGAGACACACAAACACAATGATCCAACAGAATGAATGAAGGAGGCTCAGAAAACACTCGCTCAGAAAGACAGAAGCAGCTAAAAGACACACAGCACAGTCTCCATGTTTAAATCAGATCAGTTTGGGTTTTACACAGGATTCAGTTACTCTTTACCTTTTATTGAGTTACTGTGTTACTCTGACTGTCTCTCTCTCACTGTTCAGTTCAGAATTATTTATTAGCATGAATTACTTTGTTATAATTTACCACCTTAATTGCAAAAAGGAACATTTCAGCAATAAAATAACAGTAATAGTATTCAGAATAACATTAAGTTGTACAACAACCACAAACCCAACATATAAGCCTGAACTAAGACCAACTGTGTGAACATGCATATACACAATATACACACACAGTGAACTGAAAAATGACAATGTAATATTTTTATTATTTATTCATTATTACTTTAATGAATAGTACTTCTGAGTAAAGAAGGGTTTACTCTAAAGGAGAGAGCACGGAGGGGGTTGTTGGATAAATATGGTACTGCTACACTACAACCGCTGAATAAGCTAAGAGAGAGGAGGGTGTTGGGAGTTTTGGTAAATAATCTGCACAGAATCAGTTTAATCTTGTCATACAACTGGGTTTGCTAGTCAGAAGACAGATAATCTAATACCACATGCAAAGGTTTATACTTACCTGGTTGGGAGGCATTTCAGCTCTGACAAAAAAGAGTGTAAATGGGTTACTTGGCTTTTATAGTCCTAGGGCAAGTTGGGGCATGCCCAGTGTGGACCATGTGGATTGGTCCATTTTGGTAGTAAAACAATTTCCTCCTTTTTTTTTTTCATTTTTCATTGACCATTAATGTTTTCCACCTGTGGTTTAATGTTTGTGACCTGTTTGATGCCTTTTATTTGTTGTGTATGTATGGAAGATATATGTTAAAAGTCTGAGGTTGTGATGTTTATCTTCCCCCCTTTTTCTCTTGAGTAGTTTATACTTCTTAACCTAACTTTAATTCCTCAAAGGGAGAGAGAGGGTCATATTGTGGACCAGCCACTGAGAATTCTGCTTTAATAAAGAGTACGATTTTAGGAGAAACCCTCTAATATATATATATATAGTAAATAGCTTACATTTTATTAAGGTTTTGCATTTTTGCACCTTTGCACTGCACTAACAAACCCTCTTTCACTGATGTGCTGTTTTGGCCTGCCAATGTTCCTTGGAAACCTACAGCCTTGTGACGGTCTACACAATCCTCACTAGACCTAGGTGTGACATGAAGTAAATCAATTCTGTGAATTTGTGTGTAATTTACAACTGTAGTAAAGATTTCTGTCCTTCTGTTTTCCAGCAGGAAGCTCCTCTTACCATGTGGAGAGATTTTAATGAACTCCTGCTTGCAGAATTCCTCTAGTCTCTCTTTCAGATCAGAGAGAGATTTCTTCACTCCATCAAATGAGAGATGTTGATGGACAGTGATGCTGGGTGAGTCCTCAGATCCAGAAGGGACACATAGAGACTGGAAACTCTATGGAGAAAAATGGAGAAGGAGAAAGTTAAGGCCAAATCCCACTTCAGCCCTCACCCCTACCACTTATCCCTACCCCTCCATTTTGCAAGTTCACGTCTAGGGGTAGGGTGTCCCGATTGTTGTTGTGATAGAAGGGTAGGGTGAAGTGTAAGAAACCCACATATATGAGGATTTTCTCTGTTAAAAAATTACTATAACTATTGTATTATCCTAGTTTAATGTCGTTTCAATGTATTATGATTCTTTTCTGCATAAAAAGCATAAAAATCTCTAGTAGTTACTAGTATCATGGTGATGTCTTAGTAGCTAGCTATCTAAATATCCTGTTTCACCTTAAATTTGCACCATTTCAGGTGAAATGAGTAAATTCAAATGAGAAGTTGGTGAATATCTGACTTCAGCTGCACATCACTGAAGAATTAGGGGTGGGAGATATTAAATAATTCTAACCCTCCCTATTTGAAGGCATATGACCCCCTAAATGTAACTAAAGCCCAGCAGTGAGGTTATTGAACTTTACCCTCTTCTGCTATCACTGCAGACTGGCAGGGTCGCCTACAGAGCAGCACTAGTAGCTGTTAATTAAGTAATGTTCTTTTTATTTGAGGGTCCCATTTCATAGGAGAAGATTTCAACACCTACCCCTTGTAACTCAATTCCAAGGGGCAAGGTGACACTCAAACATGGGGTAGGGGTAAAAAGAAGAAATGGGATTGGACCAAAGAAGAACAAGAGCAATAAATGTTCTCAAACTAAGCTACAGCAAAAATAACCTTTAAATTTCAGAAATATTTATTGTCTCCTTAGTGAACTTTTGGAAAGAGACATTTTAGAGCCTCCTCTGAGGAGCAGGTTCCTCTGTAGGTGAGTGATTGTTACCTGCAGGAAATGGATGTGATCCTCTGTGTATGAAAGCTGCTCCAGCTCAGTGTCTCTCCTCTTTAGATCAGCAATCTCCTGCTCCAGTTGCTCCAGGAGTTCTTCAGCTCCACTCAGTTCAGCCTCCTCCTGAGCTCTGATCAGCTCTGTTACCTCAGAGCGCTTTTTCTCAATGGAGCCGATCAGCTCAGTAAAGATCCTCTCACTGTCCTCCACTGCTGCCTGTGCAGAGCTCTGTTACAACACACACACAAGATGGAGCTCCATTTACACACCAGCTATCATTCACTCTCTCACTGGGACTCTAGATGACTCACTGTCCACATTGTGGCTGTGTAGGATCTCTAAGTGTCCAACACTGGACTCCTCACTGTCTGACTGGAGGAGAGTCTGACTGAGCTGTGAAACAGCTGCTCCAGCAGATCTCTGCTCACTACTCACCTTAAGAGTCTTCACAGCCTGTTTCACCTCCTGCAGCTTCTTCTCTTTCTCCTGGAGTCTCCACTGGGATTTCCTCTGAACCTCCTTCAGCTGATTCTGAGAAATTAATCATATTATAAAGTAAATATTTGAATATTAATGGCAGCTAAAGACCTTATAGACCACATTATTCTACACAGTTTTAAGACTGTCTTACACACACATTATCTAAGCTGCTTATCCTTTTGGGTCATGTGTGCTTTAGCCCAGCAGTCAATGGGCGGAAGGCAGGAAACACCCTGGGCAATTCGGCAGTCCATCACAGGGCAGACACACAGACATACCTTCACACACACACTTAGACTTAGGTGAAATTTAGTGGTTCCAGTTGGCCTGACTTCAGGTCTTTGGACTGCAGGAGGAAACCAAAGCACCTGGAGAAAACCCATGCTGGTACAGGGAGAACATGCAAATACCACATGGTCACCCGGCCAGGAAATCAAATCCAATCCCTTCTTGAGACTATGTGCACTTTATTAATCTGTCGACAGGCTAGAAGATGGGTGTTGGCCAGTAAAATGTTCACAGACTGGTCTGACTAGTTTTGTAGTAATGTTGAAAATGAAAGTAATTTACCACTTTCTTTTCCACAAAACACATAAACCATTAAAAATTATTCCCATGGATTTCATAATTAAGTAATTTACATGTCATATGGGAACAAATTAATTCATTGTAGTATGGAAACAGAAACAACATGAACTGATTCTAAAAGATTTCTGTTTCTCACCTCTTTCTCATTTCTTTCTGCTGCGGCTTCAACTGTATCGTGGCCTATGTGTTCATGCATCATACACAAATAACAGATGCAGCTTTGGTCAGTACGGCAGTAGATCTCGATCCTTCTATTATGTTGTGAGCAGATTCTTTCTTGCAGTCGTGTAGAAGCTTCGACCAGCTTGTGCTTCTTAAAGGCAGGAGACTGATAGTGAGGATTAAGATGAGTCTCACAATAAGAAGCCAGACACACCAAACAGGACTTGATGGCTTTGAGTTTTCTCCCAGTGCAGAAATCACACTCCACATCTCCAGGTCCAGCGTAACAGAGAGCAGGAGGAGCAGCTTGGAGTTCTGTCTTCTTCAGTTCCTCCACCACTTCAGCCAGCATGTTGTTTCTGCGTAAAACAGGCCTTGGAGTGAAGGTCTCTCTGCACTGGGGGCAGCTGTAGACCCTCCTCTGATTTTCTTCATTCCAGTGTTTATTAATACACACCATACAGTAACTGTGTCCACAAGGAGTTGTCACTGGATCCTTCAGCAGATCCAGACAGACTGGACAGCTGAACTGGTCCTGATCTACTGAAATACTGTCCATTTTCCTAAACTTGCAGCCTGAAAGAGAGAGAGAGAGAGAGAGAGAGAGAGAGAGCAGCTCTCTGAGACCAGTTTCACTTTCTCACTTTCTCTCTCACTTTTAAACTGAGTAGGAGTGACTTGCTGCTTCTGTGTTAAAGATTGCCGTAGGGAGTGCAGAGGGGAGGAGACAGAGAAATGAGAAAAGAGAGGAGAGACAGGAAGGAACATAGAAAAGAGGTGGAATTCTTAAGTGGGATATAAGAAATAATAAAGTTGTGGAGTCATTTAAAGCGTAGAAGGTTCAGTATCAGTGCGGATCCAGCGCTCTCTACAGAAGCTGTTCTCATTGGTCTCAGTAACAGGGGTGCCAATTTTTAGAGTGAGATCTCAGTGGGCCAGGTTGTGGTGGTGGGGGTGGACATGGGGCGGATAGTATTGGAGGAGAGACGCTGGGTATTCACAGCAACTGAAATTCCATCTCAAATATGCCTAAAAAAGTCTTTGCCATGCTTAAATATTTGTTTTCACATCAACACTACATGCGTCATTTGAATATAAAACTAATAATGTTAATTAAGTACAATTTATACAATTATACAATTTATACAAATACCACTTGATGTTTAACTCACCCATAACATATTCTGTTGCATTAAGTAAAATGATGAAGAGTGACAACATTTAAGCCTTCAGAGGAGCAAAAACTTATTATTTATTATTTATTAGAATTTATTGTTAAGTGTAACAGAACACAGTAATATGTAGTGATGAGTGAACAAAATCACATGAGTGTTTTTCCTCCCTCACACAGTCTTTTCATTGGTTATGGGTTAATAGCAAATAATAACAGAACAAAAGAAACAGCCCATCACCTCTCAGAAGAACTTTCTATATGATCCACTGCAGAAAGCTGTGTAGTCTTTCTCTTTGTTGCATTGTACAGTGCCCTACACAAATATTGGCACCCCTGGTAAACATGAGCAAAATGACTAGTAGAAAACATTGTTTATTACTTATTCTGTTGATCATGCATTCAAACTTTTCACAAAAATCTAATTTATATCTGAAGTAAATATATTATCATGAAATTATTTAGAAAATGTAGACATTATTATGAGTGAAATCTAAATGAAGTGCATTCTCATTCATATTGTTTATGTGGTAAAGTTCACCTGAGTTTTTATGAAAACTTAAATGTTTAGACATGCCTTCCAGCTTCACTGGGGTATAAATATGAGGTGACACACAGGCCAGATTCCTTCAGTCATCCATCACTATGAGAATGACCAGAAAACACAGCAGTGATGTCTGATAAAAGGTTGTTGAGCTGCACAAAACAGGAAGTGGCTACAAGAAAATCTGGAGAGGTTCTTTATGGAGGAATGGTCTCATATCCTTCATCATGTGTTCTCCACTCTCATTAGGCATA